GAGGAGGCTCACCTGGATCACGAGGAGATCTGGTTGGCAGTCGAGCTCTTCATCCTTCACCACAGTCACCACCCCGCCTTTGTAGATGCTGCCTCCTACAAACACCTGCAAGACTCAAAGGAAGAGTCAGTCCGGGCCAAAGGACAGTTGTCCCTTCCCTCAGCTCTTCCTCGGCCCAGACTGCGGGCGTCCTTGGCCAGCAACCGAGGGCTGCGAATTAAGCTTCCCCCTTAAGCCAAGATCCCGGTTCCAATGGTGGAAAGGAGAGACGTCTTCAAGGGCCCCAAGGCCTCCTCATGGCTTCTTGGCCTTTAAGTGCTAAGGAGCTCACCTGGCCCAATAGCCGAGGGCAGTGGGGATCGGTGATGTCATACTGTCGAATGTCGCCATGAAACCAGTTGCTCAGGTACAGGAAACGGTCATCCAATGAAATAATGAAGTAAGTGGAGAATGCTGGGAAGAGAAAGTGCCGGCATGCAACATTTTCAATAACTTTTGTCTCCCCCAAAGCTGCAGATCTCTCTTTCAGCCATGAAGGCACTAGGTCTGTACTCAAAAGATGCTAAAGACCCTTAATTTGATGGTGGAGGGTGCAAACTTAAGGTTATATTTAATATTTTACACTGTTGCTTTATCATGTCGTAAGCGTCCAGAGTCTCATTGGAGAAAAATGGGGAGCATATACATTCATGCATAGGAAGGTAGAGGGTTGAGAGGTAAATATGAACAACCCCCCCCCCACACACACACTATATTTACCCACCTGGCATGTCGGGTAAGTACCACCCAGTGACCGTCTTGTCTGGAATCTGAATTACCTTCTCTGTGGTCCACGTCCCGTCCTGCAAGAGACACAGGGTTGGTTGGGACATGCAGAGCTTTTAAATTCAGTGGGGAAGTCTGGCTTTGCTTAGTAACCATATAACTCACTTAATGACCATGGTGATAAGTGGAGGACTATTGTGCACTCTTTTTAGTACCGCATTTTACCTGCTTCTTTTATTCTAAGCTGAAACCTGAGACGCCAATTCTTTCTGATGGAAAGGGCAGGGGTGGGAGGGTGGGAAACGGAGAAAGGAATTCAATTTGTTTTCACCTCCTCCTTGTAAATATGATGCATGGAGCCATCAAAGCAACAGCTGACAAAGCCGTGTGAGGAATCCGGGTTATGCAGGAAGCGGACTGCGATGGGGACGGTGTCCTCCCCCATGTCAATGGACTCAACGAGGCAGTGGGTGGTCCAGTCCCAGACATTCAGGCGGCGGCCATAGTAGTCTGCAGAGGAGGAGGAGGAGGAGGAGGATGAGGAGGAAGGAGGAAGGGAGGAAAGGAGAAGAATCATCTCAGCTTCTTCTGGTGAGTAGGAATGCCTCCTGCTAGACAAGGGTATTCAGAAAGGTCCCGTCTCATGTTGGAGACCTCCAAGCAGGAGTCGACTTGCCACCTCTTAGGGAAGGGCCAGCTCTAGTTAGACAAGAGGGTTGGACTAAATAGCCACCAACCCCCACACACACCCCCTCAGTGCCATCCTTCCACAAGAAGTCTTGGGTCCCACTTTAGGAAAGAGTCCAATCCCCCGACCGCTGGACCTTAAGCTTGGACAATGTTCCGCCATCTCACCTTTCCTCAGAAGTTCAGGTTTGAAGCCGTCTACAAGAAATTTGGGGATCGCCAGTTCAGTACTGAATAAGACGTTATGCCTTGGTTTGAACCAGAAGTCATATCCGAGTGGAGCCTCATCCCCAGGGCGGTTCCAGGTACCCTTCACTTCCCATGTTTCCGTATCCACAAGAACAAATGCACCTGTAGTTCAGGGTTCAAATGAATTCAAACCGATGTAGGTGATTCCCAGGAAGAGTTGGCTGAAAGTAGTTTGCCCCGCTCAGAATTGTCCAAGAGGTGGCAACAGCCTGGAAGAGAGTCCAGGGCTCAACTTTAAAGGTTTTGGAGTTTTTATGGAGAAAGTTTCTCTCCCAACATCTTCCAAGCCACATCACAGTACCTCAATCTGGACCCCCTTTGGGGAAAACATCTGCCCAGTGGTACCTTTTCCATTGCCAAATAGATCCCCTAGGGAGCTGATCATGACTTCTCCGCTGTCCAGGCAGCGTGCGGTGTGTAGTGTAGCCACTTTGGTTTTACAGAAGACCTCTCTGGGTTCAATCACCTGCCAAGGTTGGGGAGAGGAAGAGAAAATAAAAACTTGCACTGTAGTTCTGGGTTCTTTTTTCTTTGTAATTCTTCAAATTGCTTTGATCTAAAAACTCCAGAGCCCACCTGCGGTCAGTGAAACATGGGGGTTGTTGATAGGAACGTGACAGGGTGAAATAAAACATTTGAAAATTATTGTGACATCTCTTGTGTTGTTGGGTCGTTTGTCAGGATTTCTTTCTATACTGCAATAAATTGCAGATGTGGGAATGGTAACCTGGTTTTTATGCTGTAGATATTCATCTTGCAAAAGTGGAGTCTTGGTTGTTAACTTATTTTCCTTTTCTGTTTAAAATCAACAAGAGCTCCTCCCTTTGATTTTATTCTCTTCAGTCTGTGCATAATAATTCTACTCAGAGATTTTGCAGGAAGCCTTGAGAATCACAAAAATTGGGGATGCGTATTTTTGTTTTTTGTTCAGTGCCTGTGGAAATGGATTTTGGCTTGGATCACTTATAAAAAAGTCAGGGGCAAAACAAAGGCAAGGTCAAGGGATCAAGAGGTTTAAAGTCCCTCGCGTTCCCTCCCAGAGTCCTTGGCCAGCCATTTCCCTGGCTTGCAACCGGCCTACCTTAAGCAGGCAGGGAGCCTGGGGGTCAGTCCCGGTGTCCACCGCATAAATCCGTGAAGAGCTGAAACACGGAATGACCAGCTGGTTGCGTTTCTTGGTGGTGTCTCCCGAGGGGCTGCTGCAAGTGTTCCAGACCATGCCGTGAAGCTCATCATTAATGTAGGGCATTTGCAGCCGGTGAATAACCTGTTGGGGAAAGACCGGAGAGGCAGAGATTAAATGTGCCTTTTTTAATGTTGTCAGCTTGGGTTAGATGTCTTCCAGTTTGCAGGGCTTCGGCGGCAGGCAGGAATCCGCGATCATGCGTGGTTTCTGCCTGGGCTCGCCGCTGAAGTGTCCCGAGCCAGTCTGGCTTCGGAGCTAAGCCACCCCGTAGAGGTGGCAAAGAGGGGGAGATCCTAGCAGGGTCGAGGGAAGCCGCATCTTTCCTCCCCAGCTGGCTAACTCCCTTTCCCGAAGGTGAACGAGCGGCGGTCAGAAATGGCCGCCTCAAAGAAGCACTCATCCAGGAAATAAAGTGCAGGAGGAAGTTAAGAAGTGAAAGTTTTGGCTGACCGGGATAAAAAGCAACAAACAAAGTATCCTGGAACTTAAATTTTAAAAAAGATACATCGCTCCCAAAGAAGATTCGGAAGCAGCGAACGAAAGTGAAAAGGGAAAGTTTTTTTTTTCTTTCACTCTCCTTCCTTACGTTGACAGTGAACAGAGATGAATGAGAAATTGGAAAAACACGCTTTGGCATCAAGAGATAATTAAACTGGATAATTAAATGTCAAGGGGACAATAAGGAATTCTGAACATTAAAAAAATATTTTATTTTTTTTGCTATAAGTGGGAAGGGAAAGGAAAAGAATAAGAGTAGGATTTGGAAAGAGGAGACTGCCTGGAATTTAAAAGAATCTGAATAAATTCTAACAAGACTTCTAAAAGATACATCTTAACTGGAACTTTGTAACTAAATAGTAACCCCAGGAAGAGAAAGTGAAAAAAGAAGAAAGTGTTAAAAGAAACCGCTTGTGTGTATTTGGATTGCTTGGTGACTTTGGGACTTTTGGAAACTATATTTGAATGACTAAAAACACTTGGGTGGTTCTTTGAAATTTTTTTTACAATGGCATCACTTGTGGACGAACTGAAAATGGTATTTAAAAAATATAAAGAAGAGGAACAAGAAGGGAAGGGCTCTCTTGGCTCTGTTTTTCAATTCTTAGAAATGGCGATTTGTACCTATGAGAAACTGCAAGAAAAGCCTACGCAACAAGAAGATTGGGACAAAGAAGAAGCCATCTTTGACGAACAAGTAACTTTACTTAGGGAAGAAGGGGGGTAAGCGGGGAAAGAGAATGAAGACTTTAAGACCCCAAAAAACCAACCAAAAAAGGGAAAAATAAGGTGAAAAGTGGATATAATGTCAGAAAGCAACAGAAAAAGGGAACACAGAAGAGGGAAATGGAGGTGGAGAGACAAGGGGATAAAAAGGACAGAGAGAAGAAGCAAGGGAGGAAGGAAGGGAAGAGAAGCTACAAAGGTGTGGAGCAAGATGTAAAGAAACAGGATTTATTTAGAGATAATGGGTAAAAATTTAACTGAAAAAGCGATTCTGCTAAGGTACATAAGATTGTATTGTTATATTTGTATTAGAAATTATGTTAGAAAATTGGAAATAACATATGATTAAAATATTGGGATAAAATACTCAGTGTAACTCAGAGAAACTGGTTGTGGATTGTTACTGACAGAATAGAGGTTTCTCTCCCAACTGGCAAGCAGGACAGTGACAGGACGGGCGTCCCTAAAACTCACAGCTTTTTTCTTCCCTTCCAGTCTTTCATGCCCTCTCTGCGCAAAAGTGCTCTACCATTCCAACCCTTGAGCAGAAGTGCTCACATTTGTGAAGGCAAGAGCCAGCATCTGAGCATCACCTGCTTTCTTCATGGATTGTGAGCACGCCCAGTGCATTATAGCATAGGAGTCTGCGGTACCAGCTAATGATCCTTTAGGATTCCTACAGCTCTCATAGCTCTAGCCTCAGCTGCACCTGGTTAAGGTGTCTGTGCATAGGTGTAACTGACCATGACTGCTGACACAAAAATGTGCAAATAGCAGATATGCCTGAGGATACCAGGAGATACCAAGGAACAGAATGACTTGAAACAGGCTGGAAACGGCTGAGCTTTTCTGGGCTTAGAACAAAGGATTCCCTTAATTCGATTAAAGTAAATTGTTCCCCGGTTTCCAAGTGTTTTGGAAACTGAGAATGTGTCTGAAGAGGTTGATATAAATTTTCCTCAACTTATGACACCAATGGGAATGCCAGATATTAAAGACAGGCCCAAGGAAAGGGGAACCAAACAAGCCTTCACCACGTTGTCCCAAAGAACTGATCATCCTCATACTTGGCAATAAGTGGGAGATTTGGGATCCACATCCACCGTGGCGAGATAATCGGGCATTTGGGTTCCCGTCTTGGTTAAGACGCAGAGCACGTACATCAGCTTCTCTCGCGGTCCTAGGGAGAATAGCCCCATTTTAGGCTCCTGGGCATGAAAATTAAAGCAGTTCTTCTGAGGCACAACTGGTGTTCACCCGTGCTCTTAGGGCATCGGATTAACCCCTGCTGTGGTCCGAATCATTGGTCAAGGGATTCTGGTGCCAGATCAGTTGTCCCCTGCCAAATGGCTCAACTTCTTCGTTGAGCTTGCTCCAACACACCACAACAAGGCGGCTTAATATGAGGTGTGAGCCCACCTCTCCTCTCTGCCATCGGACTCAACATCTCTCGGCCTGCCCTCCGCTCCAGAGCGGGAGGATATCACCCCTTCTTACCTTTCATGGCATCCAAGGGCATCGGAGAGCAACATTCTTCCCCCTCTTTAAAAAAGAAGAGAGAGATTTAGCTTCTGTGGATCAGAAGGGAGACACGGCGGGTTTCAGGAAGGTGGTGGACAGGCAACATCGGCGAAAAAGTCAGGTGCCTCCGACACAAGAGGTGGATGGACTTCCTCCTCCTACCTTTGCTCGGCTGCTTTGGAGGCTCCTTCTTGGCCTCTCTTGTTCTCTGTTTGAGCGATTCCATTGCTTTCCTTTGCTCTGCCTCTGCTTGCAGTCCTGAGGTTCTCCAGCCTGCTTGCAGCCCGTTTATATATCGCATGGGAGCTGACCAAGTTTTGCTCCGCGTCCTTTGACAGAGGCTCTCATCCTCTTCTTTCATCTCTTTCCCCTCTTGATTGTGTCCTCAGAAAAGCTTATCTGAACTCCCATCGCATCTTCCTGCTCGATAGCTTTGTTGACTCAGATCTAAATAACCAGATTAAAGGGGGAAAAGCACTTTGAGAGCAACCTGTTGAGAGTAATTTGTTAGAGATGGAAGGCCGCCAGAAACAGAAGCTACAAAATTTGGGGGTGCTTTCATGATTTGAGGTTGAAGGAATGGAGCCCAGCCTGCACGTCATCTGCCCCTCAGGGTCAGTCCAAGATTTTTGAACTGGTTTACATCAAAGTTGCTTTTTCAAAAGATGTGTACTTCCTTCTTTTTTTTTTTAATAAGATGTTTCCTTTCCCATCCAAGAAGCATCCTCGATCCTTGGTTCTTTTGAAGTCTCGAGTGTCAGGGTTCCAGAAATTACCTGTTCCAATCAGTAACTCCGAGACAACCATAATCTCAAAGTGCTTTATTAAAACAGAAACTTGGCACCTCTGTGGAATTCCGAAACCAAAGTTTCCTCCCAGGCTTCCCACAAGACCCAACCTACACGCCCCCCCCTCTTTTCTTTCACATCATAAATCATGTGAACCCATCACCCTTCAGCCAAATTCTTGCCACCCCACAGAGAATGACCCGGAAGGTTTGACATGTCTATTTTGTCTCCTGAGAGCTACTCAAACGACAACAGCCGCCTTCCTTCCTCCGCTGCTGTGTGGCAGCTTTGAATAAGGATCCCAAAGCTGACAGGTAAAAACTTTTACGAAGGGCAGGAGCGGGTAAGAAAAAGTTGTAAAATTCTAGCTAAGAAGGCAGAGCTGAAAGAAAGAGTTTGAAAGAGGAAGTTGGGAGGTTGGGACTCAGTTAATCGCTTCTGAAATTCCCACAGTGGAGTCATCAAAGGCTCGACCCAATGGCTGCCGCTCCGCAAGAGGAAGAGCTTAGCAGGCATAATTCAGAGAAGGGGATGCCGATCCTAACCAGAATAAAGCTAATAAACCACAACAAAGACCCACCAAGCGGAACATGCTGAGCTCCTGAAAAGCAGCCGGCCACATGATAAAAAAGATGCTGAGACTCTAGAAAAGGCGCAGAGAGGAGCAACCAGGAGGAGGAGGGGACTGGAGGCTCAAACATGCGACGGACGGTTGCAGGAACTGGGCCTGGCTAGTCTAGGGAAGAGAAGGACCAGGGGAGACATGACAGAGGTCTTCCAATATTTCAGGGTCTGCCACAGAGAGGAGAAAGGGGTCAGGCTGTTCTCCAAAGCCCCTGAAGGCCAGACAAGGAATAACGGATGGAAATTGCACAAGGAGAGATTTAACCTGGTAATAAGGAGAAACTTTCTAACAGTGAGAACAACCAACCAATGGAACAGAAATTGCCTTTGGGAGTTGTGGGAGCTTCATCCCTGGAGGCTTTCAAGAAGAAATTGGGCTGGCATTTGTCAGAAATGGTGTAGGGTCTCCTGTTTGGGCAGGGGGTTGGACTAGATGACCTATAAGGTCCCCCCCAACTCTGATTATCTGTTATTATTAGCAGACGAGACACAGGGCACAGCACCAATGTTCTCCTTTTTATGTCCACATGGTACTTTTCCAGCTTGATTGCCAGAACAGCAGAACTCTTAATTCTCTCTCCTTCCCGTCTCCTCAAGGCAAAAACTGGGATAATCTCAAAAGGCAAGGATAAGGTTGAAGCTCCCACTACTGAGAATAAAAGTTATCTAGGTTAGGACAAAGCTGAGAGTGCTTGCTGGACCCATGTTATGGGGCACAGAGCTTTCTTGGAATTTGGAGAAGATGTCGGCGACAGTTGCAATTCTAACTTCTCGCTCTCAGCTTTGGGATCCTTATTCAAAGCTGCCACGCAGCAGCGGAGGATGGCAGGCGGCTGTTGTCGTTTGAGTAGCTCTCAGGAGACAAAATAGACATATCAAACCTTCCAGGTCATTCTCTGTGGTGTAGCAAGAATTTAGCTGAAGGGTGATGGGTTCACATGATTTATGATGTGAAAGAAAAGGGGTGTGTGTGTGTGTGTAGGTTGAGTCTTGTGGGAAGTCTGGGAGGAAACTTTAGTTTCGGAATTCCACAGAGGTGCCAAGTTTCTATTTTAATAAAGCACTTTGAGATTATGGTTGTCTCGGAGTTACTGATTGGAACAGGTAATTTCTGGAACCCTGACATTACTCTTCTACCCTCCTCTCTATGACCTTTGTTGGGTTTGATAGAAAACAGAGCTCTGCTGACCAACATTCACGGGACTTCCTGGTAACATCGTCCCAAATGTGGGAGAAAGGACTCCCAGTCGGATCCCTTGGCATTCCCACACCAGACAAGGGAATTAAGATCTAGGTGATCTCCAAAGCTCTTTTTCCAATTCTCACATTCTACTGTTGAAAGGTGTCAAAACGCCTTTCTTTCGAGGATTCGATTTTCCCGCTGGGAGAGCTCCGGCGCAAGGATACGGACAACTGCTTGAAAGCTGGATCTTTTTATTTTTCAGGAAGGCGGAGGACAGCGAGAAGCCTGCGTTCCTGGGCTAGCTGGCTTCTTATGGTAAGTCCCTGGTTTCTTATACCCTTTTCTCCCTTTGTAAGTTGATTTTGTGTGTGTGTTTGTATTTGTGCCTAATGTTTCAAATCCTGTTTGAGTTTGCCTTTATTCCCGCCGGAGGGCAAACTCCGCGGGTTGGCCAGATTGTAGTATTGGTTTTCTCTAATCTCTTTTAGCTTTAAGATAGTTTTTCATATTTGTTCTGTGGCAATCTCCTGTCTGTCCCTTTTGTAATTTATATTTTGTGTCTTTTGTCTGTTGGTTTTGCTTATTTGGTATGTCCTGTGTTTGTAAGGGTTTTCTAAATTATCTTTTTGTTTCCTTTTCTTATTTCTCTAGTTTTCTTAATTACTTAGGCTTTTGTCTATAGGGATTCTTTAATCCCTTTTTTATTTGATTCCTTTTCCTATGTAAGTTTGTTTTTCATGGCTGGCCTGGTGTTCCCCTTGGGCTTTTCCTGTTTTTTGTGACACTACTGTCTTTGTGAAATTCCCTTTCCACACTACAGACTGAGACTGTTCAAAGTTTGATTCTGGCTCCACGGGGAAACCTCACCAGGCAACGGTTAATGCAAAAGTTACCTCGCGCGTTCCAAAGTTCTGTCGTTTTATCCAATAAAGGCTTGTCAAGCGACTGCAGGTGAAAGCAAACCAGCTTCCAGTTAAAGATTCATGGGGAAAGGATTCCTTATTTGGCTTTTGTTTGTCTTGCTGATCAATTAAACTGCTTAAAATGAAAATGTGAAGACAGAGAGGAAGCCTCCGAGCCCCTGGGACTCCGCTCTCAAATGGACAGACTCACAACCTGCCCGAGAGTCTCTCCTTCCTCCTCCGTTGCCACCTGCCCTTAAGGTCGCGCTGAAGGTGTGACCTCTGATGGCTGCTGGAGTTGCTTCAAAGTCCTGAATCAGGGCTGTCCCGCAACCAGGTGATGACTGTGCTTGGGCACAGTGTGCGAGCGCCCCTTGGTGGCAGAACAGGGCATTCCCCACCCCCACCTGGAGGGAAAATCCCCCTCCTGCACCTGACATTAATTATGGCCGAAATCTGGGCGCTCCAAACTTGGCAACTCTAAGACTTTTGTGGACTTCAACTCCCAGAATTCACACTGGCTGGGGAATTCTGGGAGCTGAAGTCCACAGGTTGCCATGGATGGAGAGCTAGTTTGGCATAATGGTTAATGGATTAGACAACTGGAAACCATCAATGTCAGCCCTGTTTTAGGCACGGAAGCCGGACTGGGTGACTTGGAGCCAGTCCTTCTCTCTCAGCCCCCGGAAGGAGGCAGCCTTGGTCCTTCAAGGGCTTTCGAAAGACATTGCAAGAAAAACACGTGTAGACTTTCCCCACACCATCCTCAAGAGCCAGGAGTGAAGCGAAGGATCCCGACAACAACATGGCTACAGATTTCATCTCCCCTCGCCAGACCCGTGGCGCGTGGTTGAGGATTATGTGGCAAGTCGGTCACGAGATGAGAAGGAAACGTGGGAGGTGAAGATGGAGATAATTAGCTACTGACGTGTAATGCAAAC